TGCTCTTCCTGGATGGCATGAGTGTTGATGTGAGCAGTGTTTTTCAACCTGTGGGGCAGGACCGAAAGGTGGGCCACAGGTATATATGAAAGGGTGGTGGATACATTTTCAAAGCTGGATTTTCCTTTCAAGGAGAAAACTGTAGGAAACCATGGCTTTTCCCTTGCAGGCTGGCAGAGTTCCAGTCTGGAAGGGGCTGCTTGGAGTCCCCCACGGCCCACACACCCAGCCCCTGCTCCTCACACAGGGCGACTGGGGAACTGGCTCAGGAGTGAGGGGCACTGGGAAAGCCGTTTCATTCATCTCTGCTTAACTCAGGGAATCCCTACTCCAATTCCCACGCGCAAGAACAAAGCGATAAGAAATAGAACACCGGTTGCCTGAGGACGAGATATCATTGACAAGCATCCTACCAGGACTTGTCTTGAAGATTTATCCTGGTCAAAAATTCCCGAGTTATGCTGAAGTGACTGTGTTTTTGTTTCTTTTCCATTTCCTAATCTAGAAGCCATTTCTGAACAGTTCAAACCGTGTTTTGTGGTTGGCCATGCATTCAAATGTCACCACCAGCTTCTATGACCTTTAGTGTGAAATACCCCTCACAGACAACTTGTAGAGGAACAAAAGGAACCTGCCAAGAAAGCTGACCCCTGGTTAGGATTAGACCCTTATGGATATTCTTATAATCTATATCAAATAAATTTGGATAAAAATATGGAGCTAGGATACCAAATGAATGGGACTATTGACGTGAGATTTCCATACAGGCAGTCCTCGATTAACAACGTTTCGAATTACAACGTTTCACACTTACAGCATTTATAAACTGACATCCTGTTTCGACTTTCTGACGTCAGTTTTGACGTTACAGCTCTTGATCTGACGCCACGCCAGTGAACAAGTTCTAAGTGTCACCCATCTCTGTGGAAAACATCTGTCCAAACTTCCTTGGCAGACAAGGTTCCTTGGGTGAATTTGATATCTTTTATTAGACCAACCCAAATAGTTGGAGAATAGGTATTAAGCAAGCTTTCGGGCTCAAAAACCCTTCGTCAGGCTAAGGAAGTGTCAGCAGTTGGTGCGTGCTCTTCCTGGATGCGATGACAAGTAAAGAAGCCAGGGGCTGGGCTGGGGAGTCAGTTGTCAGGCAGATTATAATGCATCAAAAATCCAATGTCTATGTTTAGTCCAAGATCTCTAGTATCCAGCAGGTTGATGAAGTGGAGTTCATAGGCTCGTCTCTGGGAAGTGCTGTGCAAGTTTCCCTTGAGGATCAGGACTGAGCGATTGGAGAGAGAGTGGCCCTCCTGTGAGAAATGTGCCCCACCGGTAATTGGGTATTTCTGTCTTTGATAGATGTCCGGTGTGCGTTCATGCTGGTGCGCAGTTGTTGTTTGGTCTCTCCTGCATATCTTCCATCAGGGCATTTGGTGCATTGGATGAGGTATACTACATTCCTGGAGGTGCAGCTGTAAGATCCTGGGATGCTGATGGCTGTGTTGTGGGGTGTAGTAATAGTGGGGGTGGTTCCAATTCCTAAAAGAGCTCTGCTCCCTTTATAAGCTTGGAATAGCTCACGAGAGTTTCTATTCACGGGTAGAGAAAGAGAACCAGGTTCCAATGATTTAATTGAGGATTTCTTTATTTAAAGAAAAATACATTCATTAAAACACCGTAAATGTCACACATTCCTTCCGTCACCATTGCTCCACACAGCAAAAGATGTGTTCCTCTTGCTAAGCCATGCAGCTTACAATTTTTTTTTTTAAAAAGGGTAAATGCTCTTTATACCTTTCTCTTTACATATGAGAAAGTGCTCATGCAGAATATGAATCCCCCATTTATGCAGCAGAGAAACATTTCCTGGCTTAAAAAAAGTTTAAGATCTGCAAAATGTTTTTGATTATGGAAACTACAAAAATAATTTAGGCACCGAATCACTTTTTCTGGAGGCCACTTGTAATTTGATTAGTTATCTTTTATAAAGAAAGGATAGTTAATAATGAAACCAGTTTTTTATTTTCTAAGAACATTTTTTTTCTTTCCCTGAGAGAACAAAAAAAATAGAATTCAGTTATACTCATCTTCAAACCTTTGGGACTCCCATGTAAAGTTACACACTTTTCTCTTATTTTTACCTCTGGGAGTAACACTAAATAGCAAGTTTGTGACAAAAATCAGTGCTAGGGAACAGAAGGCCAATGTTTCTGAAGAGTGTAACTTGAAAATTATATACAAAAGAGAGAAGAGTGAAGTGTGCATTCAAGCAAAATAGAGCAAGGATTGAAAATGTTCCACACAGGTTTCTTTGGTGTCCTTAAATGCATTTAAAGAACGTAAAAATGGAAATCTGTCAATGGGCAGCTGAATAGGCTATTTCTGTCCATACAGCTAAAACCACAGCTCGGTTCACATCACGCCACATCCGGCTGGCTAGTGATTTCACTAGGGAAAAGCATTTGGCACTGTGACCGTGCCTACCTACATGTGACCAGCAAGTCAGTTTGGAGGCTGCACGCCCCCTCACTTGTCCCAAGGTCCCGTTTTCAAAGGCAAGAGGGGCCATCCGGGTCCTTTCTTTCTGCTGTACTCGTATGCAGAGGAGCTGTACTGTAATCCCTTTATAAGGGGGAAAGAAATTATAGTACAAATACCAGCAGTAGCCTTAAAGAGATCTCACTTCTCTAGACAGATTCAGTAAGCTTTTCCATGCTTTTCTGCCAATTTTATGTGTCCTAATTGGTAAATCAGAGATAATCTGGAGACATTCAGCCATAAATCAGACAATCCCTACAAAAGGGAGATAAACAGTTAAAATGAAGCAGTTACATACTCCTCCAGTCTTGCATCTTTTGATATTAATCTAAATGAACATTTAAAACTTTCCATTTACTGGACTATTGCTACTTGTGGAACAAGTGCTAATTTTTCATTAAAAATCCATAACTTAACCTTTTAACTGAAAACATTACTTTAAAAAAAAATCATAGCGATACCATGAAATAGATGTATTTTTCAAATCTAGTATTGGGTGAAAACAGAGGTCATGGAATTTCCTTTTAGTTGTAAATCTCTAAAAAAACAGAAAGAAGAAGGAAGAAGTACACAGCAGAGATGCTAGACATCTAAGGCTGTTTAATAAGCAGAGTGAGTAAGCGCAAGGAGAAACCATGACAGACGTTAATATTTCCAAGGGCTAAGTAATCAAGAATTACACCATGCAGGAAACCCCGTTTCTCCTGTAAAAGAAAGATGGGTAAATAATTATGGGCGTGTAAATAATTAAATAGAAGATATCTCATTTTCCCATAGAACCTTGTCTGTCTAACTCTCAGTCCTACCTAGCTTTCAATGATCATAGAAAATCATTACAGGGGAAGGTGAGAGAAGATCCCTGGACATGATTTTTTTTTAGATTCTTAGTTCTGTGAGCAAATTTTTAATGATACAGAGGACAGCACGGTATTCAGCCTAAGATTGTGGGTGACTCACATTCCCTTGGCACAGCAGAGGTCTCAGTGTGGCAGACAGAGCCTTTTTCAACAAGTCAATGGCCACAGAATTACCTCCCGCGCCAGTAGGGACCATCACAATACTTCCCACTTCCCCGCTCCAAGTGCAAGGTCTGTTTCTTTGACTCTGCTTTTTTAATATGGGCACAACATACATATTTTAAGATATGGCATAGCCTCCCAACCCCAAAAATCAAGATTCTCCACTAAATATGCCTGTCCCTGGTGGGAACAGTGAGGAAAACATGACATGCACCACTGAAGCAGCTCAGAAACTTCAGAAATGGATGCTGTAAAAAATATACAGGAGAGAAGTACTGAAATAGAAGTAAATGTCCGTACATAAATACCTGTTCTTGTAGCTAAAAAAAAGCACACAAAGAGCGTAAGCCTGTTAGGGCTGCAGAAACACATAAAAGTTAGTGAGTTAGAGGATAATGAAACAATAGCATGTAGTGTTTACGACAAAGTAGTAGTACTTTGAAGAAACAAGAACCTATGGAAATAGCTTTATTCTCTATTCTTTTTGAACAGTTTACAATTTACCCTGTCTTCTGGTGGTATTTATAATCAGAAAGCCATCCTACCGTGAACAGATTTTTAATTCAAGGTGTCATTTGTTTTTCTCATCCAGAAATTAGAGTCTCCTATACGTTGATGTGTCATGGCGCTTGGTGTTGTATCATAAGAACTAAAGGTTGCGGGGTGAGGGGAAGAGAACACAAGGACATGATTTTTTATTAGACTCTTAGTTCTGTGAACAAATCATAACAGGATTAAAAAAAGAATCAATTAAACTTTCTCAAAGAAAAAAAAGACTGAGGCCACATGCTTGGAAGGTGATTTGATGAATGAGCTGTATTAAGCAGAATTCATCATCTCAAAAGAGTGTAAGGTTTACTAAGGGGGAATTCTAAAACTAGACGAGAGGAGACAGATAATGCCCACTAGTCTTCAATGGAGCAGAGGTGTTTCTGGGGTGCTGGAACATCACAAGGCAGAGGTGGATTCAGAGGGGCTGAACTGGAACAGCTGCACCCCCACTGTCAACCATTCCTGTGGAGCAGCAGCCAGGGACTTAAGTCTCAAACCAGGTAGGCATTTTCGCCCCCACTCCCCTCTATGCTCAAAGGCAAGCCCCCTTGCCTTTTCCTCTCCTCTCATTTCCACCCCTGTCACCCCCGACACCCTTGCCTGATGTGAGGAGAGCACGCGGCGGGTGAGGGGAGCAACTGCCCATTCCAGCTCAGCTGCATGGGGGCTGCATTCAGCCCAGGACTGTGGCAACAGGCAGGTACATTCCCCCTTTCCCCTGCCAGCTTGCAAGCAGGCATGTTCCCCCTTTTCCTTGCCAGCCCTGACGTAGGCATGGGGAGAAGGAACATGCCCCTGGCCACTGCCTCTGTTGCCACACTGCCCAGTGAGTGCAGCCCCCATGCAGCTGGAAAGGAAAGGCTAATCTTACAAAGTTGCTCTCGTAGCAATCTGCTGTGGAACAAAACTCAATCTCAAATACTATCTTAGACTGACTTACCCCTTTTTCTTATTCTGGTATATAGCTCCAGCTGGAATGCAAAAAAAACAACCCACCACGACTGGTGCTAGAACTAAAAAAAGAAAGAAATGGCAACTGGGAAATGAAGTTACAAAAAACGTAACATTTTGACCAGATATAAGAAGCACCTTGTACAGTGCTGGAACTGCCTCACTATCAACAGATCATCTCTGACAGACTATAATGATGGAGGAGCCCTTTCCTTTGCATCCCTGATCAAAAAGCACAAGTGTTCATTTCTGCATCCAGAAACTGGTGCTCAGTCTCAAGCTGCCAAATAAAAACTGGTAGCAATCATAAAAATCATAGAAAAGCAGGTACCACAGAGGTCACCTAATTCAAGGCAGGATCACCCTGCCTACATCATCCTACATGAGTGTTTGTCTAACACAGTGGTTATCAACTTTTTAGACTCAAGGCACCCCTTGGATAATGCTAGCTCTTAGTTTTCACTCTTATTTTGACTACAGAAAAAATAGAGCACTTTATTTCTGTTGCAATGAACTCAAAGACCACAACTATGGATTCCTATTTGAAATGTCTGGGTTAATCCTGTGACTCATATTGCCAACCCAATGGTTCTTGCATTGTATGGCATCCTTGAAAGGATCTCAAGGCACCCCAGGATGCCATGGCACCCTGGTTAAGAACCACTAGTTTAAGCTGTTCTTAAAAACTTTGGGAACAAACTCACCGGACTATCAGACATAATGCCCAAGACATCAAAAATTCCCGTGGACTTGTCACAGGTAAAGCTAAGGGAGGAGGGACACGGTAGGTTTTAAAAACTGAAGAGTTTTGATCCTGAGTGGGGTCTCTGTCCCTCTCATCAGACCATTTCAGATAAAACCATCAACGGGTATAAACTGTTACATGGCAACACTGGGCACAACGGTATATCAGTAGCAGAGAAACCCAAGAACTCCCATACCAGGGGCATTACTTGTTACACCAAGAAACCCCCCAAAACCAACCCAACTTTGTTGTGGAGAAAGAGGAACATGGACTCTGGATATTGATGTACAATAAGAGCTTCAGCATCTGGAAGTATTTTTTTTCACTTTGAGGTTACTTACCACCAAAAGCTATTTTATATGCATTCCCTAAAGGGGAAAACCAAAAGAGGAGTTAAAACATGAAGCCATGCTTGTATCAGCAGTTTGCAAGGAATAACACCATAATCCACACATGTGGTACAATATTTTGTACACTACATTATATCAAAATAATGGTAAATATAATAATGTAGTCTTTTGAAACAAAACAGTGTAAATTGGATAATTGTTAGTTAGTGGGAGCCATGATCCAACTGCTGGAACGTCTAGCAATGAAGAAAATACCTTTTCCTAAGCCTCCGTGTATGTGTACTCTTTAACACAGTCAAGAAAGCCATGAAACAAAAAAAGGTTCAAGGTTCTTGGTTCTATGAAGAAAAGCACATTAAGAAATATTGTCTATAATCTTCTATGCTCCTTTTCTTTCTGGGGTAAGGCCATCCAATGACACAAACATGGTGCTACATTTTCTGAACGGCTTTGCTGTGTCCAGTGAATAAATAAATGACTAAAGCAGCACCTGCTCTAACCACACTTCACTTCTCCAGGGTTAGGGTGAGCCTTTGCAGGGTGTGCTAAAGGGTGTCACCTGAAGGGACAGCTGCAAGGACACACACACACACACACACACACACAGAAGTGGAAAGAGGGGCAATAGACAATCCACTCTTGTCACAGGAACAGCCAGTGCATTATCAGTCTGGCTGCCTTGCATACTGCAGGCCAGAACTATTTTTTGGAGTAGGAAGAAGACCTCTAACAATACCACGGTTTGTAGAGTGGGTGAGAAAAGTCAAGAAGAGCTCCCTGCTGTTATTAACCAAGTGCTGTGACTTGTCACAAGCTAGTAAAGCTCAGTAGACACACTTTTATCCTCTCTGAAGTCTGCTCGACATCCCAGCAGACTTCACCATGCACACAACCCATCCATGAATATATTAATGAAATACACAACTTATTTTACAGCTGCAAACCTCAGAACATTTGGAGTCAGTAAAAGGACTTTTTTTTTTTACCTGGTTTATATTGAGCTGCCTCTTCTCTTGAATTTGCCCCCGGCCCTACATAACACGAGACATGCAGGTAAGTACATTAAAATGAAGAGATGCTATAGGTTTAATCACAGTTGCCCAACACCCAACTGCACCTCCTCTCTATCTCCCTTTCACCTCAGTTAAATCCACAGAGCAAAAAAGCATCATTCCAGAGCCCATCAACACAGATTCATAGACAGTCTACAGAAATGCATGGTTTCATTTTCCTGAGGTAGACACAATGCGATCTCCACTAATACACACCTTTGGAAGGCAGCTCTGTCTTCCTAATGATCACTCTCCAGTGCCATTTCATCCAACCTTTACACCCCCAGATGCAGAATTTCTTTGTGGGTACTTCCAACATCGTTTGCCTTGGGGACTCAAAACCCATCAGCTAATGATGGGTCATGGCACCAGTAAAGGCCATGCGGCATGCTCACAGGGGTACAGGATCTCTTCATTACACTGCTCCCTTCTCCCTAGAGATTTCACAGTTCTGGGCCCACTCACTTGTGGCAGGAGTTCACCAATATCTTCACCATCAAGTGCTAAACCCTCCCGAGCTCTACATTCGGAGTCAGTAAAAGGATTTCATTTTTTTTACCCAGTTTAGGTTGAGCTGCTTCTTCTGTTGAATTTGGCCCCGGCCCTACATAACATGAGACATGCAGGTCAGTACATTTTTAGGGCTGTGATTCAGGTAGATTGAACAGTCCACGCTGAGCTGCTTCAAAGGACAGACTTTTCCAGTATGTGATTTAAAAAAACATGCCCAATGTTTGCCCCTCCACACACACATTTCAGGGATAGAGTGCTCATAATATTAATATAAGGATTTGGCTGATTTTCTATTTGTAATGTGGAATAAAACCTGGAATTAATGTCACCACCACAGCAAGCATTCTCTGCTTGAAGCACCTGCATATCTGCGTGTTTCCAGGTTAAGCAGACCCTGTACTGATGACAACGGGCCCAAAAGGTATTTCACACTAGAAAGCAGAGAACAGGGCTGAAGTAAAAGGCAGGAGGCCCAGACCTTGCTGCTCACATAGGCTACTATACCAATGAAGACACAAAGACAACCAAAAGCTACTCACTCGTACAAAACTCTGGTGGGTTTGACCATGTGAAATCTTCAAGACAAGTCCTGGTTGAATCCTGTCCTGGGACCCTGTCATACCCGTCGTGACAGACATAACGGACAGTGGTCCCCATGGGATAGAAGCTCCTCTTCACATCCTCTTCTGATACTTTACCAAATGGTAAGCCTCCTGGGGCAGGACAGCTACCTGACAGCAAACAACAGACAGACAAGGACCAAACGATGTAGCTGCAAGACGGATTTAAATACAGCTTGTGCTTTTAACTTTCTGCAGCGCAAACACGGGCAGGATGCTTCACGTGCTCCTGGCTCTGCAGCATGAGCCAAGTGTGCTGGACAAGTCTCAAGCTCCACAAGCTCACTGGCTTGTTGCAAAGGCAGGTTAAACTGTCACGGAGGGATCATGGGGAAGGGATTTTTACTGTCCCGATAAAGGAAGAGACACGAGTGATTTTGACAAAAGGAGCAAGGAGGGAGGTGGCATCCCAAGCACAAGTGACACGAAGGAAGGCGGAAAGGAGGACAGGAAGGGAGTTGAGGGGGAAAGGGGGCCTAGGAAGAACAGAGCACACAGATATACTTCCTTTCTTGCCTTCAGCCCCTAAATTAACTGGTCTTTCTGCTCGTAACCACTGCACAGCCTTCTTCTCCACGTCCACCTATAAACTTGCCCTGCAGGGCGACGTTACAGAAGAGAAAAGGCTACAACCCTCAAAGCCCAGGAAAACATTCACAAGAGAAATATCTGCATTATGATCCACTTCTGCTTGTCTAGACTGAGTCTTCATGAATGAAAACCAATCGTGACCTTTTAGGCTGGGATGATCTAGTTGGGGCTAGTCCTGCTTTGAGTAGGGGACTGGACTAGCTGTGATCTCCTGAGGTCCCTTCAACCCCCATTTTCTGCGATTCTCCGATGCTGCCTCACGACACCTTTGCGAGTTCCCACTGAGTGCACTTTCCTGATGGTCTCATGCTTCAGCCTCTTCAAACTTTGCTTCTTCTAGGCTCTTCTTCCATCCCACCGCCCTTCATTTTGATCCTCATTCACTGCTTACTTTCATAAATTGATAAGTAGCCCCATAAGTTTACCGCACTACATACTAGCCACAAAAACAAGTAATAAGTGTCCAGCAAGCAGGTTCATTCTGTGTTCCCACTGCAATTCACAGGACCTCAGATCTAACCATTAAAGCTCATGTTGAGTAGACCTATTCAGCGGCAGAAGTTCCACATTTTCAGAAGCAATAAATGGCCGGAAAATTTCAGACAGCAAAATAACACTTATGGCCACACAACGCTGGCAGCTCTGTCCACTCGAGGTTGGGCAGGCACTCTACGGTGTCTGACTTATCTGGGATTTTAAGAAAATCCTCCAGGCATACGTAGGTGACCCTTGTGCCAACCAGGAAGCTCTGAGAGAGATAAGAAGGGCCCGGCTTGGCTCCCCTGATAGTTGGCAGAGGCCCACATTGGACTGCAAGAAAAAAAGAATGTTCTCTTTAAAACTGGCAGCGCTTCCTTTAAACGTCGCACAGCTACCTTCATCCCAAAGCGCCTCAATATGATTGGATGCTGAAGCCATGCAACTCCCAGTTTAGGCCTGTTTTTCTGGTGTCTGTGCCCACAGATAGGCTTCCCACAGCCAGAGGTTTCAACCAACACTGGAGCTGGTCTGCATTGGAGTTTGCCTAGCAGAAGTGGAAGGGTGGAAAGGAGGATCCAGGAAACTATAGGACCATTAGTCTTACCTCATTCCTTGGGAAGCTCTTTGAGAAAATTATGCAGGAGCACATCTGCGAGGGACCAGCAGCGGAGATCATGCTTAGGGGCAACCAACATGGGTTCACTAGAGGCAGGTCCTGTCAGACCAACTTGGTGGCCTTCTATGACCAGGTCACCAAATCCCTGGATGCAGGTGTCCCGGTGGACTTCAGGAAGGCCTTCGACATGGTCTCTCACCCAATTCTCATTAAAAAACTAGGAGACTGTGGCGTCGACACCTACACAGTCAGATGGATCACTAACTAGCTGGAGGGACGCACCCACAGAGTGGTGGTGGATGGGTCTTATTCGACCTGGAGGGATGTGAGCAGTGGGGTCCCCCAGGGCTCAGTCCTCGGACCCACACTGTTCAACATCTTCATCAGCGACTTGGACAAAGGGGTAAAAAGCACCCTGCGCAAATCTGCAGATGACACTAAGATGTGGGGGGAAGTGGGCACGCTAGAAGGGAGGAATAGGCTGCAATTGGACCTAGACAGGTTACAGGGGTGGGCAGATGAGAACAGGATGGGTTTCAACACTGACAAGTACAAGGCACTGCACCTGGGGAGGAAGAACCAGCAGCACACCTACAGGCTGGGGAACTCTCTTCTCCTCATTGCAGAGGCAGAAAGGGATCTTGGAGTCATCATTGATGACAAAATGAACATGGGCCGACAGTGTGATTACGGCTGTGCAAGGCTTTGGACCGTGCTTTGGACCTGGAGAAGCTTCAGACACTTGAGACACCCAAAGCAGCATATCTGGATCAAAGCGCTGGCTTCTTTAAGCTTTCCAAAGTAGTTTGGAGCTTCCAAACCGCTTCGGAAAAGCTTGGGAGCTGCTTCCGAGATCCGGCTATTGGGTATAATGGGGAACCAATTACATATCTATAACTTGGTTGTTTTCTGTCTGCTTTGGATGAAACTTGCAGGAGTGGTAGCTCCTGATGAGAGCATGAAGCCTACTATGCTCAAGAAGATCAGTACAAAGGTTTGGGGGGAACTGCACCCCAAATTCTTGAAAGCAAAACTCATGTCACATCTATGTGTTCCACCACAGGGGGGTCAAAACTGCAGGGGTGGTGGCCCCTGCTCAGGCCACGAAGCCTGCCAAGTTTCAGGGAGATAAGTGCATGGGTTTGGGGGAAATCGCACCTCAAGCTGCGGACAAACAAAACTCATGACAGGGGTGACACTGCGTGTGTTAAGATGCAGCGGGGTGACAGCTGCAGGGATGATGGCCCCTGCTGAGGCTCCTGCTAGCTGTCGAGGAGTTTGCCTAGCAGGAGTGAGGCCGATCCTACTGCAGAGTACCAGAGCTGCACGGTGGGGCTGGCTCAGTAGCCCCAAGTGGCCAAGTGCCCACTGCAGGACCAGCTCAAGGGCCAGCCACACCCCGCCCTCCACCTCTACCTGCAGCCAGGTAGCTAGCCAGCATTTCAAGTCCTGCTTTGCCCCAGAACCCACAGACGCTGGGCTCAGAGGAACACAACAGTCGTCTCTCTCCCATCCACAAGCCCCAGGTTCACTTGGGCTCTCTTAGGGCTGCTTTTAGTTTAGACTTTGCAAAATGGAAGGAGCTTAGTGTCAGGAGAGGTGACCAGTCCACTCCTCTGCACTGAGGCCTAGACAGGTGTGCTGTACCTCACGCGCAGCACCACCAAACCATTGGACAAAACACGTGGCATTAAAAGCCGTCATCTTGAAATAATGCCTTTTCTGCCCCAGAAACATTTCAAGTGCTGCCTTCTACCACACAAGTGAAAACACCATTGAACTACAGACTCATTTCATAAGTTGTTTCTACTTGCACAGGTCGCGTCTTGGCACAGGAGGCCAACCGTCCTGCGGCAGCCACTCAGTGCTATCCCATGTACCACTTCAAACAGGTGAGTAGACAGCTAATACTCACGTGGGTCACAGACTGGCACAGAAGGCTTCCAGGTGTTATCCTCTGCGCATCGAATCACGCCATCACCACCTCCTCTCAGGGAGTAGCCAGGATTGCACTCAAATGTTATTGTGTCTCCATAGGAATAGACAGCGACTGATCCAAACTTTTTTTTCCCATGTGGAACCACCGGGACTGGACACTTCACCTCTGGAAATTAAAGCATCGACAAGAGTGTTTTGCAGAGGGTGGAGATCATGGGCGAAAAAGGAAGGAAAGGAAACGAGCCCACAGGCATGACTGTAGGCGATAAGCTGTGTACTCAGAAATATGGGCAAAGATGCAGAGTTGTGTCACCCAAGGAGATGTTTGTTCTCCATATAGCACAGTACCAACCTGAAGTACTGTGCAGTACACCAAGCTCGAGTACTGTGTCCAGTTCTAGACCCTGCAGCTCAAGCGGGCTGTGGACAACCTGGAGGGGGTCCATAGAAGAGCCACTCATTTGATTAGAGGACTGCAGGGAAGCCCCTATGAGGAAAGGCTAAGGGACCTTAGCTTCTTCAGCCTCTCCAAGAGAAAGCTGAGAGGGGCACTTGTGGTTCATGCACTGCTTACTTTCATAAATTGATAAGTAGCCCCCTTAACTGCACTACATACTAGCCACGAAAACGAGTAGTAAGTCTCCAGCAAGCAGGTTCATCCTCTGTTCCCACTGCCATTCCCAGGACCTCAGATCTAACTATTAAAGCTGGTGTTGAGTAGACCTATTCAGCGGCGGAAGTTTCACAGTTTCAGAAGCAAGAAATGGCCAGAAAAGCTTCAGAAAGCAAAATAACACTTACGGCCACACAACTCTGGCAGCTTTGACCACTCGAGGCTGGACAGGCACTCTACGGTGTTTGGCTTATCTGGGATTTTAAGAAAACCCTGCAGGCATACGTAGGTGACCCTTGTGCCAACCGGAAAGCTCTCAGAGACATAAGAACGGCTCGGCTTGGCTCCCCTGACACTTGGCAGAGGCCCACATTGGACTGTAAGAAAACAAAAGCTCTCTTTAAAACTGGCAGTGCTTCCTTTAAACATCACACAGCTACCTTCATCCCAAAGGACCCCGATGTGAATTGGATGCTGAAGCCATCCAACTCTCATTTTAGGCCTGTTATTCTAGTGTCTCTGCAGGCAGACAGGCTTCCCACAAGGCTTCCCACAGCCTGAGGTTTTAACTAACACCGGTGGCGGTCTGCCCTGGAGTTTGCGTCAGTGTGCCGGGGGGGGGGAGGCCCCATGCAGGCTGCTTTGCCCTGGGATGAGCTGGCAAAAGCGAGAATTGGCTCGCGGCAGTGAAATCGGAAGTGCCATGGTGGGCCTTCCCGTTTCACTTTTCCCATGTCGATCGGCAGGGTGTACGTAAGGTACCAAAGGTTGAGAACCACGTGCCCTATACATGCAGGATCAAGTACTATCTGAAAAGTAGTATGCAGAAAAACGGTGAAGGAGGGGTTGTAGGGACTCACTCAAAGTGCAACTCCCATTTTAGGCCTGTTATTCTAGTGTCTCTGCAGGCAGACAGCTTCCCACAGCCTGAGGTTTCAACTAACACCGGTGGCGGTCTGCACTGGAGTTTGCCTAGCAGCAGTGAGACCAATCCTACTGCAGAGTACCAGAGCTGCACGGTGGGGCTGGCTCCGTAGCCCCAAGTGGCCAAGTAGCCACTGCAGGACCAGCTGGGGCCCCAGCCACCCCCCGCCCTCCACCTCTCCCTGCAGGGTGCAGCACCTCTTCATTACACTGCTCTCTTCTCCCTAGAGATTTCACAGTTCTGGGCCTATTCACTTGCGGCAGGAGTGCAGCACTATCTTCACCACCAGCTGCTAAACCCTCCCGAGCTCGACATTCGGCATATTGAAATAAGCCAGGAAAAGAAAATCCTTGCAATGCATGTCGGGAAGGGAGTGTGCAAAACACTGTCTATTGGTACCCCAGAGCAGCACTGACAGCGCAGGCCACTTCCTAGAGCTGCTGAAGAGCGGAAGGAGAGAAATTCAAAGGAGCCACACATGGCACACCCTGTTTTGTTTGGCCTGGAAATGACCTTCCCGAGCTCTGAATCTGAATCAACTGATGGGGGTTTTTTTACCTGAAGGACTAGTGCTTATGGTGGCAGCTCCTCCAGGAGTCTTGGGTGTGGGAGTAGTAGGACGTACTGCCAAGAGAAGGGGAAAAAATAATCCACCTGTGAACATGGTATTGCATAACTCTCCATTACCAGTCAGAAGCAAGGAATATATATATATTTTTTAAGAGAAAGAAACACAAAACAGAAGAAAAAGGTGAGCCCCCGCCTCCTTGTACCTGGCTCTTTGCTCCACGCTATCCAGGGAGATCCCCTATACCAGTGTTTCTCAACCCACGGTACGCGTACCCTGGGGGCACACGAGACGTGGCAGGGGGTACGCGGGCACTGCGTTCTGCTCTTTGCCTGCTCGAGCCAGAAGTTCCAGCTGCCGGCCCTCCCGCTGTGTCTGGTGCACCGGGGTGGGGGCTGCCACTCCCCACCGTCAGTGTGCCGGGGGGGGGAGGCCCCATGCAGACTGCTTTGTCCTGGGATGAGCTAGCAAAAGTGGGAATCGGCTCGCGGCAGTGAAATCGGAAGTGCCACGGTGGGCCTTCCCGTTTCACTTTTCCCATGTCGATCGGCAGGGAGTACGTAAGGTACCAAAGGTTGAGAACCACGTGCCCTATACATGCATGATCACGTACTTTCTGAAAGTAGTATGCAGAAAAACGGTGAAGGAGGGGTTGTAGGGACTCACTCAAAGTGCAGCATGCATTGGGGGAGGTGCAAGTGGGGCCACCGCAGGAATTAGGCTAGCGCCAGGTGTCCACTCAGACCTTACCATAATCCAGGAGATCACCAGTTCTTACATTATCATCCAAAACCATCAGCCAGGTCCAGAAGATGTGCATCTCCACCACCGCAAACCCCGACAGGTATCAGAGAATAGGAAAGGAAGACTTCCCCACGATGGGTGCAATGGACCTGGCCGTGATACAGATCTCCAGATCCTAGTATGCCCGTGTCCCTCACACTAAGGGGTGAGGCAGCCACAGCCACTTTTTCAACTAATTCACCAGGAAGGATCCCAGGCATTGGGACTCCGAGTCACGACAGTAACAATCAGGAAGAGCTCTAAGGCTCTTCTAGGTTGCAACCTCGACTGTGTGTGCAGTGCCAGTGTCCCGGGGGAACAAGGGAGGGGCTCCTCTGAAGAAAGCAAAAAACAGAGAACTTTAAAGGAAGCAGGGATCACATTATTGGAAATGAAGCCCCACTCATCTGCCATTGTGGGTCCCAAAGTGATGAGAATGTGCCAGGGGAACAATTTGCACAGATTGAGAAGAACACAGCATTTTTAATTTCCTTGAGATGCTGATTCAACAGCATCATGAAATGCCCTCAGGTTTTTGTTATGTGTCCCCACACTTTCCACTTCCAAAAAAAGCTACAAGCTGACAGCCATGCAACCTAAGACCAAAAAGTGGAACCAACTATCACAGGAACAACCTCGCAGGCCGTGCACCAGGGTTGCGGGAGAGAATCAAAAGACCAACATCACTAATTTATGACAATGCTTCCTAACCCACACTGAAATTAATACTCTCCAATAACCTGAACACATGCCAAGGGAGGCAACCTGGAAAAATACTAATATACAAAATCCCTCGGCAATCTTCCCTTGGAAAAATGCTTCCACGCTAGGGCTGTGCGAAACGTAAGCATAGCATTTCGACCAGCGTTTCAGCATTTTGAGAGAACAGTGTTTCATCTGGACTTTTGATTCATAAGGGGTGAGCAACACGACTTGCCTCATTCTGTTTCGAGGCTGCTTCGACCATATCTGTTCCGTTTCAATTTTGCGGTTTCAACCGCGAAACAGAGTCGAAACAAAAGTGGTGGTGAAATTTCGCAGAGCCCTATTCCACACCCACCTCTTACAACCTTCCTGCCACAACAGATAAAACAAAGAGCAACAAAAAAATCTAACTGGACACTTCCCAGGAGACAGAACTACACACTGAACTACAATACTGACTGTTTCAGGAAGAAAGCTAACAGTGATATCTTCAACAAAACCAGGACCACCGCAGCCTCCTTTCCCCAAACCCATCATCTCTAGTATCCAAGAGAAGCTATCGTCATCCTCAACTGTCAAGCCTACATCAATACCGCAGTAAAAACTAAATCCATCCCAGCCATGCAGGTGATCTAATAAAAGAAACCACCCCACAAAAGTCTTGCCTCTCCCAGATTTACGTAGCCTGGACTGTGTATCAAGTCAAAGTAAAACACGTGCATAAATAAACTCTTCCTAAGGCAGCGACAGTCGTCTTACCTTCGCAAGTAGGGAGTTGGCTCCATGCGACGTCCCTTCCTTTCAGCCTGCACGTGATGTGTTTCCCAGATAACCGATACCTGGAGAGGAGAGGGGTGGGGAGGAAACCTTTTATTTAGTGCCCTAGTTTCTCCTATAAGTCTAGAAATTTAAATATCCATTCCTTTCTGTCACTCAGTGAAGATGTTAACAAATGAACAAGGTTATTCTTGCTAAAGCAATCCTCACATTTGAAGCCAATTTACAACTGCCAGAGAGGTCGCTGAAGGACTGGAGAGATCAGGTAGCAATAGATGTATTTCCCCTTATAGTTTGTACTAACACGATGCTTTAAAGTTTCATGGCCATATCTTTCGTCTCTCTCAGGTCCTCCTTCTTTACAGTGAAGGGCACTCCTCCTTCCCTTGGTCTCTGTGGGCTCTGAAGACATAGCCAGCCACCCCACGTTTATCTGGACTTCAAGAAGGGAAACTAATTCTTACTGTCAGGCAAACCACCCCAGGGCATGTTGCACTGAGAAGTAAACCACGGCAATCACCACGACATCTGGCATCATACCTGGCATGCTAGTTAACCGTAATGGGCAAGAACCTATTTTATCTATACGGCCCCAAACATCATCCTATTCCACCCTGCTTGCATCACTAAAAACCACTGAATGCAGCTTCTGTAATGTGTTGTCATCTTAGCTCTCAGTTTATGCCATAAAAAAATGGAGGAGAAGGATAAGCCACCTGCCTTCTGCTTTTCATGGGTTGAACAGGTCTGCACTGAGGTGCTTAAGTCACACTGGGAGCATCTACCTGTTCATTAATGCACCGTAGTTACTACGGATTACGTTTAGTGCTTGTATAACCAAATACTAAAATCAATGGTGCTCCTGTGCAGTAGTGCTGGCACATGGCTTTCTGGTGACACTAACTGCTCAGTAGCGTAATATTACTGTGCAGCAGCATATTAGCACAGTTTTTGCCCTGCACACTACGGCGCGGTAGCATTAGGCTCCTGTGCAGTCAGCGTCTCGGGTAGACGCACCCACTGTTACCAAATGGGAGGAATAGGACCTGGACCAAGAGGCTCAATTATTCTGAGGCCTGGTAACCACCCCCTACACCCAAAGGTAAATTGAACCAATGAAATCCATTATCTTGAATTGCCCTTCACCACCATATCCTACACTTGGCCTATTTCTGTTGGGATGTTTCCTTTCCAAAAAAGCCCCCAAAGCTCATGGGTAGAATCCAAGCACCTGTGCTAGGCAAGCTGTTCAAGGTGCCTAGAGCAGGCAGCAGTTCTTCACTAAGTCCTGTGACCTAGCTGGCATCCGTTCCCAACACTCACCCCTCATCACACACTACGCGTACTGTGTCAAGATACAGGGTCCGTGTTGTATCAGCAACTCTGCCGTGCTCCGGTGCTTTTGGAACTCCACAAGATTTCTCTAGTGGGACGCAGGATGAGTGTTAGCACATGATGCGGATGGACAACCCCCCAATATATCTGCATCAGATTATGGTAAAGTCAGATCAACTGCCCAGATTGTTAAAATGTTGTACATTTGCTTTATTCCTATTTCATTAAGACATGAACACTTTTATCATCCATGTTACATGTCTAATCAGATGGCTTTGTCAGCTTCTATGACAGACTCCCCTTGTCTCTCACATTAAGTTATCTGCGATGCTTTCTTCACCAAACATGCCTATTACCATAGAGCACACTTCAAACATTCACAGTCTCTGCACACACATCTAGAAATGCAGTGGACAACGTGCAACCTGGGAAAACATTGCTCTACCCGACACACACATGGATTAAAAATAAGAGGCATAAAAATGTGCATGCTCGTTCTATTCAGGAATTGATTTTCAGTCAAGGCAGAGAATTTGCATCTGCGCGAGAAATTCCCAAAAGGATTACGTGGGCCAGGATGCCACCGAGGAAGATGCTTTAGTTGCAGGATGAGTAAAACTGGCCCACTGTGTGGGTTTTGGCATACAACAACATGTCTGCAGCCTTGACATGAACGACTTTGCCAAAAACTATATAGTATTCTCCACTCTGAAGCCGAGGTTTTGTCTCTGCCTTTCTATTTTATTGACCAGTTACGTATTTGAATGTGAATGTCTTTGCCATAGTGATAACCAATGGATTTATTTTTAGGGCTGTGATTCCAGTAGAGCGAACGGTCCAGTTGAGCTGCTTCAAAGGATAGACTTTTGCAGTATGTGATTTTAAAAAGCACACTCGATATTTGCCCCTCCACACATACATTTCAGGGATAAAGCGCTCATTTTATTAACATGAGCATTTGGTTGATTTTCAATTTCTAATGTGGAATGAAAACTGGAATCAGTGTCACCACCGCAGCAAGCATCCTCTGCTTGAAACACCTGCATATCCATGTGTTTCCAGGTGAAGCAGACCCTGTACTGATGACAACGGGCCCAAAAGGTATTTCACACTAGAAAGCAGAGAACAGGGCTGAAAAAAAAGGCAGGAGGGCCCAGACCTTGCTGCTCACATAGGCTACTATACCAATGAAGACAAAAAAAACAACAAAAAGCAACCTACCAATGAAGACACAAAGACAACCAAAAGCTACTCACTGGTACAAAACTCTGGTGGGTTTGACCATGTTAAATCTTCAAGACAAGTCCTGGTTGAATCCTGTCCAGGGACCCTGTCATACCCGTCGCGACAGACATAACGGACAGTGGTCCCCACGGCATAGAAGCTCCTCTTCACATCCTCTTCTGATACTTTACCAAATAGTAAGCCTCTTGGGGCAGGACAGCTACCTGACAGCAAACAACAGACAGACAAGGACCAAATGATGTAGCTGCAATTCAGGACCTCAGATCTAACAATTAAAGCTGGTGTTGAGTAGACCTATTCAGCGGCAGAAGTTTCACACTTTCAGAAGCAAGAAATGGCTGGAAAATTTCAGACAGCAAAATAACACTTACGGCCACACAACTCCGGCAGGTTTGACCACTCAAGGCTGGCCAGGCACACTATGGTGTCTGACCTATCCGGGATTTTATGAAAACCCTGCAGGCATTCATAGGTGACCTTTGTGCCAACCGTGAAGTTCTCAGAGTGATCATAATGGCTGGGCTTGGCTCGGCTGATAGCTGGCAGAGGCCCACATTCAACTGTAAGAAAAAAAATGCTCCTTAAAACTGGCAGCACTTCCTTTATACGTCACACAGCTACCTTCATCCCAAAGCACCCCAATGTGAATTAGATGCTGAAGCCATTACGGCTGTGCAAGGCTTTGGACCGTGCTTTGGACCTGGAGAAGCTTCAGACACTTGAGACACCCAAAGCAGCATATCTGGATCAAAGCGCTGGCTTCTTTAAGCTTTCCAAAGTAGTTTGGAGCTTCCAAACCGCTTCGGAAAAGCTTGGGAGCTGCTTCCGAGATCCGGCTATTGGGTATAATGGGGAACCAATTACATATCTATAACTTGGTTGTTTTCTGTCTGCTTTGGATGAAACTTGCAGGAGTGGTAGCTCCTGATGAGAGCATGAAGCCTACTATGCTCAAGAAGATCAGTACAAAGGTTTGGGGGGAACTGCACCCCAAATTCTTGAAAGCAAAACTCATGTCACATCTATGTGTTCCACCACAGGGGGGTCAAAACTGCAGGGGTGGTGGCCCCTGCTCAGGCCACGAAGCCTGCCAAGTTTCAGGGAGATAAGTGCATGGGTTTGGGGGAAATCGCACCTCAAGCTGCGGACAAACAAAACTCATGACAGGGGTGACACTGCGTGTGTTAAGATGCAGCGGGGTGACAGCTGCAGGGATGATGGCCCCTGCTGAGGCTCCTGCTAGCTGTCGAGGAGTTTGCCTAGCAGGAGTGAGGCCGATCCTACTGCAGAGTACCAGAGCTGCACGGTGGGGCTGGCTCAGTAGCCCCAAGTGGCCAAGTGCCCACTGCAGGACCAGCTCAAGGGCCAGCCACACCCCGCCCTCCACCTCTACCTGCAGCCAGGTAGCTAGCCAGCATTTCAAGTCCTGCTTTGCCCCAGAACCCACAGACGCTGGGCTCAGAGGAACACAACAGTCGTCTCGCTCCCATCCACAAGCCCCAGGTTCACCTGGGCTCTCTTAGGGCTGCTTTTAGTTTAGACTTTGCATAAAGAAAGGAGCTTAGTGCCAGGAGAGACGAGCAGTCCACTCCTCCACATTGAGGCCTAGACAGGCATGCTGCACCACACACGCAGCAGCACCAAACCCATCAGACAAAGCAGGTGGCATTAAAAGCCGTCATCTTGAAATTATTCCTTTTCTCCCCTAGAAACATTTCAAGTGCTGCCTCCTAACACATGAGGGAAAATACCATTGGACTACGGACTCATTTTATAAGTTGTTTCTACTTGCACAGATCACGTGTTGGCACAGGAGGCCAACCGTCCTGCGGTAGCCACTCAATAATATCCTACGTGCCACTTCAAACAGGTGAGTAGACAGCTAATACTCACGTGGGTCACAGATTGGCACAGAAGGCTTCCAGGTGTTATCCTCTGCGCATCGAATCAAACCATCACCACCTCCCCTCAGGGAGTAGCCAGGATTGCACTCAAATATTATTGTGTCTCCATAGGAAACGAGCCCACAGACATGACTGTAGGCGATAAGCTGTGTACTCAGAAATATGGGCAAAGATGCAGAGTTGTGTCACCCAAGGAGATGTTTGTTCTCCATGTAGCACAGCACCAACCTCAACTGGAAGTGTCTGGGACCAGAGGACCTCCCTTGAAAACTGCATGGGTTAGGCAACCTCAGCTGCTTGAGGTCATTTAAACTACATCCCAATCCACATTTAGGAGTTGAAACTCAGGGAACAGAATCAGGGAAGTGACCAACCTGCTGCCTGGTAGCTCTCAACTGCCTCAAGCTACCAGGTGCCCAGCTGAACAGCCCGTTCAGAATAAGGCAACATGGCCCATTTGCTTGCATGTTGCCTGAACCAGAACGTGTGCGCATGGCTCACTCCAGTCAAGAACCAGTTCTTGGGCACCTCCATTTCCCCCTTTCAAAACGGCAGTAAGGCTGTGACATGAACTCACTGGGCGCGTCCAGATGAGCCCGCACGTGCATCTTGCCCTGCCTCAAAGCCTTGGGGGTGGGACAAGAGGTGCATGCGGGAATGAAAAGGACCTGGCTGGGCCCAGCGTGTGATCCTGACGTGCCAAGCTGGGTCTTGCCAGCAAGGGGCTGGCCCGGCGGGGCGGCAGACGCTCCCCAGGGCCAGCAAGACCCAGCTGGGCTCGGCACGTGGTCCCTGCATGCCATGCCAGGTTTTGCCACCATGGCTCAGAGCACCTCACTCCCATTGCTGCTGCTAAAGATAAATTATGGGCCCTGGGCAGAGGGGCTGGGACCCTCCAGGGTGCCTGGGACCCTGGGTGGCAAGGGCTGGGGTCCTCCAGGGGGAGCTGGGGCCCTGGACAGCGAGGCTGGGGTCCTCCAGGGGGAGCTGGGGCCCTGTGGCGGATACAGGCC